GGCTCGTTGGGCGGCCTCTCTGGGGAGCCACGAGTCACGCCGAGGAGTCTCCTGCCAACCCTTGGCCGCCGGTCACTTGTCGTCGTCGTCATCGCTCATGCTGAGCTGGTAGCTGAAGAAGTCTATGGAGTCCTGGGCGAGCTTGGAGAGGTGCAGCACGCCCGTGATGACGAGGGCCACGAGCAGGGCAGGCAGCACCAGGCTCCCCACCGTGGCCAGGACGTTGTAGCACCTGGCCTTGGAGCTGAAGTGCCGCGCAGCCTCCACGTCTCCGGCCACCTTCCGGTCCCGTGCCTGCAAGAGCCGGGACACGGGGCAGCCGGCTGAGCTGAGGGTGGCAAAAGCAATGGGGCCATGGTGCCCGAACTGCCCGTGGCCATCCTGCCTCCCTGCGGATCCGGGAGCAGTTGCGTCCCTTCCCATGGCTGTCCTGCCTTCCCTGCGGATCCGGGAGCCCCCGCGTCCCTTCCCATGGCCATCCTGCCTCCCTGCGGATCCGGGAGCAGTTGCGTCCCTTCCCATGGCTGTCCTGCCTTCCCTGCGGATCCGGGAGCCCCCGCGTCCCTTCCCATGGCCATCCTGCCTCCCTGCGGATCCAGGAGCAGTCACGTCCCTTCCCGTGGCGGGGAAGGGCAGCCTTCTCTACCCCAACCCTCCCAGGCAGTCTGCGTTCCCTATTTCCTCTCCGTATCTCCTTGGAAAACCCTCACTTGACATGTCAAGCGACTCAGAGCACGGAGAAGGCTCTCGGGAGCACTGGGTAAGCCCAGACGCAGATCTCCAGTTACCACCTGTGTCCCATCTGTCTCTGTCCCGCGAGGAGCCTGCCCAGGGCCAGGCAGCACAGGGTGTCCTTACCTTGACCGAGAAGGCAAGAGCCACGAACCCGAGACAGCAGAAGTTCATGTAGATGGTGTTGAAGACGGACCAGATGAGGTGGTCGCGGGGCACCGCGGCAGAGCCCATGGTGATGACAGTGGGAGAAGGGTCCCGCTTGCGGGACGTCGCGGGCACGTAGTCCTCACGGGGGTAGGAGGTGTCCATGGCCACGCGCAGGGGCAGCCCGCAGCTCTCCTGCGCTAGCGACACTGTGCAGGGGAGCAGGGCACGCAGCCCCCTTATATAGGCCCTGCCTCCGGCGGCGGCTCGGCTTCACTATATATAAATTGGAGAAATTACAACCCTGAGCTGTGGTTATCAGAAATGCTTGGCCAGGAGCTAGGAGAAACACAGCCTGGGTTTGCAAGGCTCCTGGCAAGGGTATAGGCAGTGTCTTTTTATACTCAGCGTTCCTCCCGGGAGGAAAGTCCCAAAGTGCTCAGACCGCGGTCGTGATGGGCCAGAGCCACGGTTCCTGTGGGAGAAACTCAGTGTCCAAGGAGGCAACGGGAGGCATCCATGGGAAACCTGTAGGCAAGCGATCAATGACCAAGAGCAGCCTCTCCACTTGTTTGCTGGGACTTTGCATTAGTCCAAATGGAAAAGTTGGCCCGAGTCTTTCATCTGGGCCACTGGTGCTCCAAAGGGGACCGGTACCCAGAGGAGCAGACATCAGGCAGACCCTCTGGGTCCGTGGAGCCGAGGACAACGCATCTCGCATAGTCCTGTGGCGAACCCCCCGTCAATGCCATCAATGCATGGCATTGACACAGGTCAATGGCATCAACGGAGGGGCCGTTGGGCTTGGGGCAGTGCGGCGCTCCCAGCGAGGCAGGAGTGGAGCCTCGCGCTCGGCACCTGGGATTTGCTCCCCTTGGCTAGCGCTGTCACCCTGTGGCTGCCACGTGCTGCCGCAACGGGGAAGAGGAGGTGGGTGGTGGCTGGAGACGTTGGGGTTCATCCCCATGAGTAAGTGGCCCTGATGGGCTGCGGGAAACGTCGGGCTGTGATGAGCGCACAGGGCCATGCGTTTGGGACACTGCAAATGGCTTAAACCCCAGCATGGGGACGTGAGGGAGGACCGGGCTGGGCTGGGGAGGATCAGGTGTGTTCGGAGGGACCAGGCCAGGGTGACCCAGCCAGGCTGAGTCTGTCGCACTGGATCAGGGAGGGAGCCTGGTCGCTGTGGGTCTGGGGTGCAGGACTGGGGGTGCCGGGTAGGATGGATGTGGAGGATGGGATCTGGGAACCCCAGTGGGGCCAACTCTGGGGAACTGAGGGGACGGAGCGTGGTGGGTCTGGGGCAGACAGCAGCACCCGCGCCACGAGAGCGCAGCAGTACTCCCGGGAGGGGAGCAAAGGAGCAGTGTATTGGGGGCTGCGCGGGATGGGGCGGGCGAAGCCGTCGCGTCTTCCTTGCGCGGGCGCCTCCGCGGTGCGAGCGCCGTGGCCGCACGCACTGCCCGGGCGCAGGAGGCTCGGCAAACGTGTCGGTTCGCGCTGACGGCGAGCAGAGCCGGGGAGAAACGATGCACCGGGCACCCAGCGCCACAGACCCCGCGACCAGCAGTGGCCACGTCTGGTGGGGAGCGTGGCCGAGAGCTCGCTCGCTGCTGGCACTCCTTCCCCAGCCCCTCAGAGCACAGCCGGCTGCTGCCTGCCCCTTCACAGCCCCCCCAGGGCCATGGAAAAAGGATGAGGCGTGAGGAAAACATGGAAAAAGCCTTTATTGGGAGCTGCTGCTCCTCCCGGAGAGTTGCCCAGGAGGCACTTGGTGCCACTGCTAAAAAGCCAGCGCATCCGCGCGGCGCCGAGCAGCAAGTCGAAAAGCAGCCTCGCCTCCTCGCCGGCGCGCACGGACGCGACGGGAAGCGCCGCAGGAGGATGCGGCGGGACGCAGGGGGG